TCACTTCGCTCACCGAAACGTTTTCGCACCAAACACTGCCTGAATCACAACTCATAGTGAATGGGAGTTAATTTTACCATGATCACCCCACTAGGATTAACTTTGGCCCTGAAGCTATTTTTATATATTCCAAGGTCTTTGTGTTCAAAGAGATCTCGAACCTTTGCCTCTGACGTGGAGAGACCAACCTGGAAGAAACAAAACAATTTTGCGTTCATATTGTGCTTGGTGACATCCCATTGACATCACATTGAAAATCACTTGAAATGATTTTATGAGCGTATATACAAACAGATACAAGGCTATCGACGTGAAAAATTCCTTACTACATACCTGTGAAGATTTTCGACATACATTTCTCATTGGTTAAATAGTTACGCGCGAAAATTCGCTACCAAGCACTGAACAACCAATCAAATACACTGCATAGATAACTATAGATTACGTTATTAAGACGGCATTTTGAGATTGGCATCTCAGACGAGTATAACCGGGCGAATAATCCAGGCTTCAATTATTTGGGTAAAGGTAAATATAGTCCGAGGATCAAAATATAAATTTTTGTTCTGATCGTTGCGAGATTGTTATAGAAGCCAGTTTGGAGAACTTGGGGTACATCAACTGCAAAACGATTTACCCAATACTTGATGATTCTTTCTAATCTCATGACCCTTTGCTTGGTAAATAGCGATATTTTTAAGGAGAAAGTAGTTAGTGATCACTCAGGGGAATTAAGGGGAATGTCGTGGTGTGGTTTTGTTCTACTCTTTTTAAGAGAGACCACTTTCTTTTTAGGTTAAAGGGAACTTTACCGCACAGCAATGAAGGATTCCCCAAATGAAATTACAAATTAAATAACAATATTTGAAAAGGAAGCCATATTACCTTTAGCTGGAATTTTTTGGAGAAGTTGGTTACTGTCGAGAGAGGAGAAACAGACTACCCAGAGAAAAACCCTCGGAAAAAGGCGAGAATCGACAAAAAAAAATCAACCCACATATAGCATTGTCATTGGGCTAGACTCCAAACTGGGCCACATTAGTCAGAAATGAGCGCTCTCGACACTGCACCAACCCTGTTCACCTTAAAAGCAAATTACGGCTGTACATTTGAAAATTCTGTTTACTTTGAAATCTAATATATTGCTTTGATGAGCCACACGATGTTTTTGCAGTTCACTCTTTGATGAAGAAAATACATGTTTTGGATGAGACATCATCCATCGTCAGTTGTACAGTGAGAAATAAAATGNAACCAATCAAATACACTGCATAGATAACTATAGATTACGTTATCAAGACGGCATTTTGAGATTGGCATCTCAGACGAGTATAACCGGGCGAATAATCCAGGCTTCAATTATTTGGGTAAACGTAAATACAGTCAGAGGATCAAAATCTAAATTTTTGTTCTGATTGTTGCAAGATTGTCATAGAAGCCAGTTTAGAAAACTTGGGGTACATCAACTGCAAAACGATTTACCCAATACTTGATGATTCTCTCTAATCTCATGACCCTTTGCTTGGTAAATAGCGATATTTTTAAGGAGAAAGTAGTTAGTGATCACTCAGGGGAATTAAGGGGAATTTCGTGGTGTGGTTTTGTTCTACTCTTTCTAAAAGAGACCACTTTCTTTTTAGGTTAAAGAGAACTTTAGTTCACGACACAGCAATGGAGGATTCCCCAAATGAAATTAAAAATTAAATAACAATATTTGGAAAGGAAGCCATATTATCTTTAGCTGGAATTTTTTGGAGAAGTTGGTTATTGTCGAGAGAGGAGAAACAGACTACCCAGAGAAAAAACCTCGGAACAAGGCGAGAATCGACAAAAAAAAAATCAACCCACATATAGCATTGTCATTGGGCTAGACTCCAAACTGGGCCACATTAGTCAGAAACGAGCGCTCTCGCCACTGCACCAACCCTGTTCACCTTAAAAGCAAATTATGGCTGTACATTTGAAAATTCCGTTTACTGTGAAATCTAATATATTGCTTTGATGAGCCACACGATGTTTTTGCAGTTCACTTTTTGATGAAGAAAATACATGTTTTGGATGAGACATCATCCATCGTCAGTTGTACAGTGAGAAATAAAATGAAAATATTTGCAATAAATAGTATAACAAAGTGAGATATTAACAAGAATAACTAAGGATGAAGGCGCGAACCAAAAAAACGGGTAAAACTATTTAAGCTAAGAAAGGAGACTAATTAGTATGAAAGGGATCAATTAAGATGTTTGACCTGGGAATTTAAAGAGGGCTGCTCCCAAAGGATGTGCATGGCTTCCTTGATTTTCAATTGGAAGCTAGTAAGCTAGTATACATGTAAAGAGACCACTTCAATTGGAAGTTAGTATACATGTAAATGCCGTCTAGAAGCAATACCTCATTAAAGGAAGCCGCTATTGGGTAAGGCTGATTTGTTCTGCGACTGAAAAGAACCACAGCTACTGATCCGTCATGCAGAGGTCGACACCATACTTCGGTGAACTCCCTGTAGCTCTGGAAAACAATAAATTCATGAAATCAGAAACAAATAACACGAGACAGAGTTGTTCACTTTTCAGGGGCATTCCCAGAAAGATGACTTTCAAAAGTNCAATGGTAACCTTTTTAAAGGTTAGGTAGTGGTGAATTAGATTAAGTGTCTCTTTGTCATGTTGAAGACCAGTTTTCATTTGAGTATCAAACCAAATTCAAGACAATCACACGAAACATGCACAAACATCAAAATGAAACTATAAAAACATGAAACAACTGCACATGTCCCGATCAAAGAGCATGAAAACGCACACCAAAGTGTGATTGGTTTTCGTTTCGCATCTGATTAGTCCAGTAAGTAATGCAACTTTTAAAACAACTCACAGTTGGGAGTGTTGTAAAACAGAAGTTAGTAACATTAAACACTACGGTTTTTAGCGCAAAACTCGGACGGTAAACCGCTAGGAATCACGTGACCAAGCTCTGCAGTCACATTTGGAATCCTCAACACGGGTTTTAACGCCGAGAAGAAGGTTTTCATGTAAGTGATTTCCCTGAACGTTTTAATCCTGAATGTCTGTTAATGCAACGTACCATTGAGAAAATTATATGAACCAGTCTTTTTAGGACAGGTTTAGATGTAGTTTTTAGCGAACCGTTTGAAAATCAAACACTGCTGTTGTCTGGAAATTCAAATATGGCGGCCTCTTCAAGAGAGGTAATTCTTTCATGTTTCCGTAGTTAAACCAATAGAGGCCACAAACGTCAAAAGCTAAATCCCCTAACCTGAAACTGCCGTTTGCGGTTTGCCGTTGACACGAAAACCCTGGTGCTAAATGTCTCTATTTTTTTTTTTTTCAAATGACTTTGGACACTCATTTTAAAACCATGCATTGACTTATAGTCATTCTTAGAGCAGTTTTCACTTGCTTTGTTTTGGTACTTCAGAAACCTGCTCAACTCATCTTACATTTCCCTTGCCTTGTCATCTCCAGTAACTAAACTATCAAACAAAACTTTAATTTTTCACGACTTTCAAGGACCGACAATTAAATTCCATGACTTTCCAGGCCTGGAAAATGAAATTCTTAAATTCCATGACTTTCCAGGTTTTCCATGACCTGTACGAACCCTGTAATTACTGAATTTTGTTTGGCGCGACAGGAGCACGACGTTTGAACCGCTGCCGTGCCAAAGTCGTGTAGCATGGCAGAGCTTGTCGAACTAATTGCTTGCCGAACTTAATTCAAAAGTTTTATTCGGTGCCGCGCTTCTACCGTGCTTTTGTCGAACTTAATTCCTGGATTTAACGCGACACGCCAAAATAATATCACATTCAATTCAAATTTAAATGATGATCAAATTCTAAATTTTCCCAGCCAGTTCCAAAAACAAAAGCAAAACAAAAACATTAAACTTACAGCAGCCATAATTGCCCAGAGTGCAAACTGTGACTTGGATTGCTCATAGCTTAGACTGAAATCTCCAATCAGCAGCTGAATTTAACACAAAACATTAACTAGTCATTGATCAAAAATATCAAAAGTAACATTACATTTCATTGTTATTATATGCTAACATTTTGTTCCTAATTATATCTGGAAGAAAAGGGGGGCGGGGGGTGGAGTTGCCTGGTGGTTAGGGTGTTGAACTTTTAATCCGGAGGTCTCGGGCTCAAATCCCTCTAGTGGAATCATAGGACAATGTCACGTGATCAAAAAGCACTCGAAAAATTGTCAAAGTCTTCCATCATGTTAGCCTGCGAACGCAGACGTATTTCCGGCTGTCACTTGGTTCCGCCGAAAAATAACGTCTGCGAACCCGAGCCAGAAAACGATTTCTGTGACGTAGGAATTCTAAGCCAATCACAGTTAAGCTCAAATAACCCCAGAACTACTGCGCGAGGTATTCGCTGCGAGCACTCGAGTTTCATTCTATCATGGAATCTGATTGGCTAAGGAGAAGCAAAAGTCATTACGTCACAGAAATCGTTTCCTGGCTCGGGTTCGCAGACGTTATTTTTCGGCGGAACCAAGTGACAGCGGGAAATACGTCTGCGTTCGCAGGCTACCATCATGTCAACACTTTCAAGATAACCGTTTAGTTACATATAATTTAGTTTGCGTTACAAAATTTTTGTCTCCTCCATGTGCTAATTCCTCACTACGTCTTCATGGGGTGATGGTGAGGGGGTTGGGACATGCAAGTCCATTCCACTAAAGGTCTCGCATACCTGGTCAGGGTCGTTCCAGTGTCCTGGGCCAGCAACAGGTATCATTTCATCTTGGTGATCGCCGTACCATTCAACTATTCTCGTTAAACTGTACCATGAGTCCTACAAAGAATAAATATGTGTACAACATTGTCAGAATCAAAAAGATGCCCAACTGGTATTGGCATATCTTATTAACCGCGCGACCCTGGGTCAAGAGTACTTCTTGCTACGTTCTTCGGTGACCAGAATCAGAAACCAGAAACTGCAAGGGACCGCATACGATAAACGCTGCCAGTGTAGGATCTACAAGAGATCTGATCAGCCAAAAACAAAATTGTATGAAGACAAACAATAAACTGTAAGGCTGATAC